AAACGTCGGGCAATCGGGAGACTTCATCTTCTTCATGAACTTCTTGAACTCCTTGTTCTTCTTGTCCCACTTGTAGATAGCCGTCAGCAGGTACTGGGTCTTCACCTGGCGGCCCATGATGAGGAAGTAGTGGCCGAGGTTGTCCAGCTGATGGCAGGGACAGTCAGCCCCATTCTTCAGGAACAGCACCAGCTTCTTCAGGTTCTTCTTCCGGATGGGGCCCAGCTTCAGCGCCTTCCTCTTCCGCGGGACGATCATCTTGTCCCCGTTCTCCTTCTTCACTTCCTTTATGGTCATCTTCAGGGCTGGAAAACAAACCAGAGAGAGGGGGAAAAACAATGACTCCTGAGCAGTTCATTGGCACAAAGCCTTTGCCTCTGCTTCTGTGTCTCCCTGCTCCCCTCTCCCAGCAACGCCTTGACCTGCTGGCCACAACATGGAAACCCTCGCACCTGAAGTGGAGCCATCCCCTTTTTACCAGGTAAAACACTGACGTCCCTTTCCCTCCCCCAGAGCATGCCAGGGGCTTTTTATTTGAGAGGGAGACTTGCGCAGGCAGCGATATGCTCTTTGCTAGCAAAATGTGAGCTGAGTAAACAAGGTGATTTCCCTGTTCTAGGTGCATGGAGAGACTCTTGAAAGGGCCATTTAAAAGGTCAACTTGGCCTCTCAAGCATTTGTTTGCAGTCGCTCCTGGCCCTCGGGTGGCCGGGAAACAGGTTTCCAAGCAGTGAACATCTCCACGTTGGAGCAGTGAAGCCCTATGGGAGCAGTGCAAGGCAGAGCTGAGAGGAGCAGCCACGTGCCTGCACCTTCCATCTACAGCCTCCATGGAAAATACTTTCCTCTTTAGGCTCAGCATTTTCCCCCAGTTAATTCCATTCAAATCCCGCTGTTCCTTTAGCCATGACCATGAAGAGGAATTCAGGGTACATGGGAAAAATGATGAAAATGTGTTGTACATTAAAGCATCGCTTCTGTGCCATTTGGCTCTGCCTCAGTTTTGGGGAAAAGCACATGTGGCCAAAAATTACTAACATATTTCCATCATTTGGGAGTTCACTTCATAGCTGCAGATACATCATGCTGGGATAGGTGATGCATTGTCTGCTGTTCCCTCCCATTTGACTCTCAGAGCCCGTGCAGCAGACAATGTGCAGAATCCTGTGGCTCTGGCAGGGAGATTGGTCCCTGCAGCATCGTTCCTTGAAGTCTTGTTCTGCTGGAACTTGGAGCAATGAACACACATTGCTCTCTGGACAGCAGCTCGGCTCACCATTCCAGACAGGAATGTCAGCACAGTGACAACCCTAAGGCAGCAGGATCACCCTCCTGCCCTCAGCCACTGCACTGGAGCAATGGGATTTATCTGCCCGTGTGCCAAAAGCACCTGCTGTGTTTGCCAAGAGCCCTGTCGTGTGGTGCTGTTCCTGTACAAGAAAAGCAACCCAGGACTGGAAACCTGAGTGAAGTTTTCATTCCATCTGTTTTCCAAATTGAGGATGTTTAAGGAGCGGAAAGGACTCCAGCTTTAAGGAGCTAAAGACACTGAACCAGATCAGTTTGCAACAGATCTGGAAAATGAAGCAAGTAGTTTTCAGGCAGCTCTAATCTCCATGACATTAATTGGGCAACAGCAGCAGCATCTGCAATGTGAACCTCTATTTCTTGATCCTTTCTGACTCTAAACTCTTGCACTAAGCACAGGGCTTGCCAGAGCAGGAGGAATGGTTTAATACCAGTCGTAAGAGACTTCTCCAACATGGCTTGTTTGCAAATTGCTTTGCTCTGATCGCTGCAAGTTTAGATCCTCCTTACTAGAGGAAGAAAACAATCTGGCAGAGGAGAAACTGTTCAGCTCCAAGTACCACAGTCTATGGGAGACAAAGAGAGTCTGGAGACCCTGTGCTGGGGGAGCTGTTACCTGTGCACAAGCCACTGATGCAGGTTGAGGGAGATGCCCATGAGAACTAAGCCATAAGAACTAAGAACTCCTCCAAACCTCCCTGGTGCAAAGAGACATGACCAGGCAATGCCAACCCACGAGGAGGCTGAGCAGGGGTGCAAACGGGTTGTGTTGGGTTCTGCTCTCCCCAGTAGCGATGCCTCCCTTGTCATCAGCAGCAATGGGTTCAAATTGAAACAGGGGAAGTTTAGGTTGGAAATAAGGAAGAAGCTCTTCCCTGTGAGGGTGCTGAGGCGCTGGCACAGGGTGCCCAGAGAAGTGGCAGACACGCTTTATGGGCACAGCCGTCACGGCAGCAGGGCCGGACCCACAGCTCTGGCATCCTCCTGCACAGCA